CAAAATGATCCAGAATTAATTACTTCTTATAGATGATACAGATGATCGGTTATCTGAAGGTCAGAATGTTGTTTCCGATAAAAGAAAGGGAAAGATGGTAGATCATGGATCAGTAACATCACAAATGTCAGACCAGGCTACGAGGAAAAAAGTGAATAAAGAAAAAAGAAATGACGTCAAGGCATCTCGATCACTTGAAGAATGGTATAAAAATGCGCAAACTTCAGTTGTTCCAACTACGTTTTCTATCTCTAGTTCGCCGAGTACACCACCACATACGAATAATTTGCAACATAAAGACCGTAAAGGCTCAAAAAATACTGTGTCAAACCCTTCACAAAATTACATAACAAGTTTGCCATATGATTCTATAAACGTTGCGTATGATGAAAGTGAAGTTAACGGAGAATACGGTTTTCCCAACAGCCAAGGTAACAAAGATTCTAATCAAAGAAGACAAAGGAAAAATCACACATCAGGTCTTACAGATTCTACGGATAGCCCAAATGTTAGGAGAAGTAGCATTGATGATGGAGGGCACGTACATAAACGTTCAACATTTGATGATATGGAAGATATCGAATGTAACATGCAAGGACAATTTGATAATGAAGATTCAAGCGAAATTCGTCGCGATGATGAAGGCTATACACATAAACGTGCAAGGACTGATGACTCTGAAGATGTAGTTCATTCTAAAAGGACATCTACTAATAGTTGTGATGCAATTAGTGACTCTACAAAAATATCCTCCCCGTTATATAATAATAAAAGTCAAACAGAAACTCGTACGGAATTTGAGAAGGATCATGAATCAATTTCCACAAATATCGTAAATGTTTATGAGTCAACACCATCAGAATCTATCAATGAAACAGAAATTTCAGAACAAATAATGCACGAGTCCGAAAGTAGCATTAATGTTTCCGAACAATTGCAACACGAACCAGTGGGATCAAAAGTATCTCCAAAAAAACAATCGACATTACCAAAACAAGGATCGGGTATTAGAACTATCATAATTGGACAACCTACTATTGATGTTCATTTAAGGTCAGATGGTTCAAGTAATGTGCTTACAAATGACGATGCTAATAAACCTCAAGAAACACCCAAACGTAAAGCGGTCCAGGATGCTCGTAAAGCATTGGGATTTACTGATACATTAAATCACGAATTGAAATTAAAATTTGACAAGCAGTATATTTGTCGTAAGAAAAAATCTTTGGGGTCTCCGGTTACGTTTGTAGAAGTTTCATCTTCAATAAATTGTCTAAATAAGATGGATTGTGGGTTATGGACATTGTCAAGAAAATTAAATGATAATGTTGTGAATTTATTAATCGTACACGGGGAAAGGTTAGGTTTATTTGTTTAATTTACGATTGGTATTAAGAAATTTTGTATAATCTGTAAAATTTATTTTACCGACTATAGAATACGCGAATTGGTTACTTTGCAAACTTTGGTAACTTCAACGGAATTACTTCCAACTAGAAAATTATCAACGCCTATTGATATGGAATTAGAGTAAATTAGTTTATGACTTTTTATTTAAAAGTCAAAGATAATGTATTCTATTTTATTTCTAATCTTTTTGTATTTTAGGCTTCTTGGGTCTGATAGAATAATATCGTACCTAAAATCACTCTCATATGACCAAATACCAGATGAAAATGGAGCCGGTGTTTGGTGGAATATGGTCAATCAAAAATGTGTTACTGCCAACGGAGTGAAAATACGATGGAGAGAAGATTGTAAGCTAAAACTTCATATATATATTTATTTAGAAATTATTTATTTAAGAATTATTTATCGGGTAATACATTTTATTTTATTTTTTTATAGGTGAAAACACTTATGTACAGATAACTCATATATCCCCTCTTGTATTGTTTGCATCAGCTGTAGATTATTTTTCAAACTTGATGCAACATCTCGCTACTATTAATAGCGAATCAAAAGATGTTTCTCTAGCATCTACAAGATCATGGCAAACCATGAAGATCCTTGCAAGTGAAGCAAAACAATTGGTTAAGCAAGAAGATGCAAAAATTATGAAACGAGATGATGAAATGAGACATCGAATTAAAGAATCTATTATATTCTTATTACGAAAAATGCCAAACTTTGGAAATGGAACATCATACATCGATTTTAATGATCATGAACCATCCCTTGTAATGGTTGAAAGAAAAGGTGATGATGAGATTTGGTATAATGATCAAATGGTAGTTAAGTTGTTGTGGAAGTATAATGCAGAATCGGATGAAATAACTCATGAGCAATAGACATAGATTATTATTGTAGATAGTAGAATAACATTTCATCAAATAATTGGCTTTATTTCTTTTACTAATTCAGAGAAAAGAGATCTTTAATAAAATTTTACAGATTTCTTTTTTTAAAAAAAAAACTGATTAAAAATGACATTAAAAAAGTTTACACTTAATTTTTTATAGACTTGCTTATTAATAAAATTTGGTTCTACAGTATTAAATTTATTGCATATCAAAATAAGATAATTTAAGAGAGAATCACTCCCATATGAATCGAAAACGATAAGTTACCGGCATCGGCCGACATCAATCGGTCAATTGTCGACTCAAATCGATGTTATTCGATCTGTCGACTACTGCATATTGAAATTATTCAATTACGTATTTTTGATGTTTTCGAAAATTGAAATTACGTAGCAAAATTGTTTCTGAGATATTTTCGTTCGAAATTTAGATTCTACGTGATCACTAAGCTCTGGTGAAGTCTAGAAATCTTCAACTATTGCGCATTTTTGATCGTTAAAAATTACGTTTGCGGGTTATCGTCTAAAAAGTAAACGTTATGATATCATAATTACGATTAGCAATATTTAACATTTTAAAATGACATAATAATGATAATAGTCGTTCTTCTAGGCATTAAATTTTTTATAATGATTACTAATACGATTCGTTTAACTACTGTCTTTGCAAGCTATAAAGCACGCAAGTTTTTGAGCTTTGATAGAAACATATTCCAAAAAATGGCACAAACACAAGTTAAAGTGGATAAATATCAAGTTACCAACTTATGATTATGATAGTAAGATAGTATTATTTAATATATGTAATTAATTTGCCACTCGTGTATAATTGTATTAATTTACTTTATTATTAATTATTTATTCAAGTTAATGTCGAACCCAGCAAGAATGTTGTGTTTTTTCATAAAGGCGAGTGGATCTTAAATGCGATCGAAAATATGTTGATTAATGTTTATGGCAGTTGTCAGAAAGTTTCATCAGAAAAAGAGTATAGGTACATTATTTGTATAATTCGTGATAATTAATTTAAAATGTTAAAATGTTTCATTATATGTTTTTGGAAGGGTTCCACAAATCGATCCTGCGGATCCATCTTCATCCAATAATAATTTATCACCAATTTCTTCCGAGCTACTCTCTTTAACATCTAGTGAACCATCATTGACTGATGATACAATAATTGGTTCGTCATCTGTTTTT